GACAAACTGCACTCCTTAGCAGCACTGATGATGTTACCTAGTTGGGTAATGAAACGTCTGCAAGAGAAAACAAGCCAGCTCAGATAACCCCCAAGAAGCCCTCTCAGAGGAATTCCCAGAGAGCTGGTGGGGCAGACAGGTGCCCTGATCGAAGATAGCGGCCCAAGAGGATAATTATCCAGGAAGCTCCTGCACAGAGACAGGATCCGGACTAGGCATTGCGCGATCTTCTGCAGGGCCCCGTTTACTCTCCTGCTACTGGATCTTCCTTTTGGCTTTCAGCTGCTAGACCCGGCTGCTCTCGCCGCAGATCGAAGTCCCATGCAGCTGGCTCAGCCACCCACCCCAGTTCCCAAGGGGAAGAGCCAGGGGCTGGGGCAGCCCATCATCCCCCACTTGTCCGGGCCAACGTCCGAGACCCAAGGGTGGCTCCCCTCCCATCCGCACCAGTCCGCCAACTTCTGCCATCTTTCTCTTTGTTTCCTGATGGCTCAGGCTGACAGAATCATTGAGTTGGGAGGGACCTTTGAGGTCTTCTAGTCCAACCCCGCGACTCGAGCAGAAAACCCTGTTTCCCATTTCAGACGAATGGCTCGAAAATAGTCGAGAGTAATTAGCCGAAGTAAGAGAGTCCGCTTTGAACGGCGCAGGGAAAACTGAGGAGCACAGGAGAGTTGTTACACCTTTTGTTGGCTCTTCTGGATTAATAAAAAAATAAACTGAATTGAGTGGGGGATGGATTTTTAATCACGTTTTAAGAAGTTTCAGAAACTGTCGGCTAAGGGGTGAGGAGGAAAGTGTAAAGAAAGAATGAGGTGAGGTTCTTTGATTTCCCCCATGTGTAAAATGGGTATAATCATTCCTATTAAATTATGCTTAATGGTGATAACTGTGCCCATTTTACAGATGGGGAAGTCAGAGAACGTAACCTCATTCTAAGCAATGCTTAATATCTAGTGTAACATTTATTTGTTTGATTTGTCAATCGCTTAAAAGATAATAGGTATAAGTATAAATATGGTTATAAATACATGCAATGGATACATGTAAGAAAAATAAAAAGAATCAATAGGACAGGGACAATAGGCATGTTGGTGCGCTTATGCACGCCCCCTATAGACCTCTTAGGAAAGGGGTGAGGTCAATAGTAGACAGTCTAAGGTTAAAGTTTTTGGGGTTTGGGGGAAGAAACCACAGAGTCAGGGAGAGTATTCCAGACATTGACCACTCTGTTGCTGAAGTCGTATTTCCTGCAATCAAGTTTGGTGCGATTAACCTTGAGTTTGTATCTATTGTTTGCTCTTGTGTTGTTATGGTTGAAGCTGAAGTATTCACTGACAGGTGGGACATTGCAATGTATGATTTTATATACTATACCTAGATCAGACCGAAGGGGGCGTGTTGTACGTTCTCTAAGTCTAGAATTTCAAGTCGGGTGGCATAAGGTATTCTGCAACGAGTAGAGGAGTGGAGAACTCTTCTTGTGAAATATTTCTGGACTTTCTCAACTGTGTTTATATATATATATATATAAACAAGGTCCCAACTTCCAACTCTGATTATCTATTGTCGGTGGGAAGCTTT